GAAGTCACAACCTCGACAACTTTGCAACTGGCCAACTCCCCTAAGCTTCCTAGCTCGCATCTCATCGAGCGGGAGTGGCAGCCTCGACGCCGACGACATCTTTGACAGGTCGGAATCACACCATACCAAAACCTTAGCGATCCTTCTCTAGTTCGTTCCCCGCATCGACACATCGAATTGGCCGGCAAAAGATGCTGAAGGAGGTTTCATATGCACCATCTCATGCTCATGTCTCAGATGTTACACGAGTGCCCGCGGCCTCCCGAGTCTATTTCGTCATCGACTGATCTCGGAGGTACAGAACGGTGTGGGGCAGCGAGCTTTCTTTCCGACGTCTATGCTTTGGTCACCACCACTCAATCAGACTTTTCTCTGAGGACGCGGACATGCCAAATCAACGAAGCTCACTGAGGAGGAGCTTCTTTGCAGCACGACGATCGCCAAGACGTGGGCGTCGAATGGCGATCCAAGCGAGCACACCATTCGCATACCGGGACGCGGGGTGACCAACAAGCACGCTTTTGGATTCAAGCTACGCCTGGAACAGTGATGCGTTGGGAATATGGTGGAGAGAACGTGCATTGGACAACTGACACTAACATCAACGTCCATCCACTGACCGGCTGTCACGGACAACCTCTTCACGCATGATCGACTCTGAATTGGCTCTCATGGAACCGCTAGGACAACCTCGATGTCTTCTCCTGGCGAGCTTCTGCCGTCAAGGAGCTCTCATAAAAAAACGTCCCGCCCAGTCGCCGTTCTTTTCTTTCTTTCTTCCTCGAGAAGTTGCTTGTTGTATACTCCCAATCCTCTGGTAGGACACTGATCATTCGCTTCAGCGTCTACCCACCTTCGTTGAGATCGAGCCCTCGTGTCAGCAACAAGCAATCCCATCTCGCAACACCTCCGCCATGCGTACTTTCGCTCTCCTCACGGCTTTGGCCGTCTCCGCCCTGGCCTCGCCCATGCCGCAGGGGGTGACCTCTGCGATTGCTCCGTCCTCCCCAGCGCCTGATGGCTGCCAGCCCTCGTTCAGCGGCAGCTTCCAGATCACTGTTGTGAATGTCTCGTCCTCGGCAGCCAAACGAGATCTGACCGAGGTTGGCTCACAACATCGTCCGTTCATGTATAGAACAAACTAACTCATATGCAGCGTCAAACCTCTGGAGTTCTAACACTCACTCTTGCCGACTCCATCCTCAAAGATCAAGCGGGACGGACTGGCTATATTGCCTCCAACTATCAATTCCAGTTTGACGAACCTCCGCAAGCCGGAGCCATCTACACAAGCGGGTTTTCGATCTGCTCTAATTACAGTCTTGCGCTAGGTGGCTCTGCCATCTGGTATCAATGTCTGAGTGGGTCATTCTATAATCTGTACGACCGCAACTGGGCCCCCCATTGCGTGCCGATCTACATCTACGCCTTGGTCGGATCTTCCGCTCCACCAGCGACACAAGCAACAGATGGTCAACCAGCAGTGACGACTGTTGTCCCTTCGGTCTCTCAGCTCACGGATGGCCAACCCCAGGTCACTTCGGTGGCTGTCACACAGATCTCAGATGGACAGTAAGTACCCTTTCAATGTGGCGGTCGGAATGCTCTTGTGACGGAAATCAACGTACACGTCGATTTGTTTTGGCTACGTCACCGTCATTGAATATTGTTCGCTGACTCCTTGACAGACCTCAGGCTACCACTGGTGTACCTGTCACTCAAATCAGCGATGGCCAGTAAGTCCACCACTCTACACTAGTTGTCCGTGCAGTTCTAAGCATTCATAGACCACAAGCAACTACTGGTGTACCCGTCACCCAAATCTCGGATGGACAGCCACAGGCTCCCAGCGGGACCCCCGTTTCCCAGATCAGTGATGGCCAGTAAGTATAGAATCTTCTCCGGTGTCTTCACCATTACTTTGCCGCTTGACTAATAACGCAAAGACCACAAGCTCCAACTGGTGCTCCCGTCACCCAGATCTCAGATGGCCAGTATGTTTGCTTTGAATTTAGTCCTGCCTATATTCTCGCTGACCAAACCAAGGCCACAAGCTGCTACCGGCACCCCGGTCACCCAAATCAGTGACGGACAACCTCAGGCTCCTACTGGCGCTCCCGTGAGCCAGATTAGTGACGGACAGCCCCAAGCACCTACAGGCACACCCGTTACTCAGATCAGTGATGGACAACCTCAGGCACCCACCGGTGCGCCCGTCAGCCAGATCAGCGATGGCCAGCCTCAAGCACCTACTGGTACTCCCGTCACCCAGATCAGTGACGGACAACCTCAAGCCCCGACTGGCGCTCCTGTCAGCCAGATCAGCGACGGGCAGCCGCAAGCCCCTACTGGTACACCAGTTACCCAGATTAGTGATGGACAGCCTCAGGCTCCTACTGGGGCACCGGTCAGTCAGATCAGTGACGGACAACCCCAGGCGCCAACTCAGACTGTTGCTCCCGCCTCGACCTCAGTCGCCCCATCGACCTTCACTGGTGCCGCCTACCGACCTGAGTTCCCTGGAGGACTAGCTGTCGTTGCAGGTATTGCAGGGTAAGAGTTCTTCCGACACAATATCTCGCCTCATTGTTCCAGTTTCAGATACTAACAGAATTGGCAGAGCTGTGGCATTCCTGTAGGATTGATGACGAGATCTCATCGACCATAACGCCGGATTCTCTGCGCACCTTGTGCCTCTGATCAACGTCAACTGATTTCACCGACCTATCGTCGCCAACACTCTTTCTCCGTCATCGTACTGAACATTCGCAAACTAAGTCCCCTTAATGTGTCCTCCTTCCTGCACAGCATTGGAATTTGCATATGGATGGGAAAACAAGCATGACAGACAGACACCAAGCAGTCTCTTATGGGTGTTGAATCACAGAAATGTGCCTCGCATCTCGAGCAGAAAGGTTTAGCGAAGTTGTTGGTGGTTTGGGCAATTCCACACAGCACGAGTTCAAAAGTACCTAGGTAATTAATAATAATAGTATGTCTTGGGTATATCTAAGTATCGTTGGCATGACAAGAGACATGTTGTCATTCGCCATTTCGTGTGGTAGGTTGCGTAGTAGGTCGCCGTGGGCACATTTGGTGTGCTTTTCTTTCACATGCGCATCTTGTTGCAATATACCAGCTTTCATGAAAAATTCGCCTCAGATCTGCTGGGCGAGAAGCAGGGATATCTCCCAACACCACCCATTTACACCCATTCCTCTGAAGAACTCCCTTCCCTTGGTAGATTAGTAGTCCCTTTTGTTGTGTTTCGTCTCATCCATATCATTCGCATCGCTCTCGCTCCCACTCCCTCCATATCCTCACAATCTCCAACTTTTCCCACCCGGCCGTCTTGCCGCTCGTGCCGACCGTCTCGGCGCGCCAGTGCCATTGCCATTGCTCTGCCTTGCCAGCTGTTTCTGGCTGTGACCGTGGTGGTGGTGATGGTAGTATCGAAGGGTCCCACGCACGAATCCACCGCTTGACCTCGTCGGGCTTGTTCCCGCGACAAAAGAGCACGTACGCGACGCCGCGGGGGCTGAGCACCTCGGGGATTTGGGCGAGGAGGCGGTTCGTGACTTGCATGCCGTCGGGCCCGCCGGCGTAGGAGAGGGCGAGGAGGGCGGATTGTTCCTCGAAAGTTGGGTTTGGGTTTGGTTCTGGTTCTTTGGTAGTGGTTGGAGCGGCAGGGACCGAGTCGGTAGGCACGTAGGGCGGGTTGAATACCAGGACGTCAACTTCGCCCGGGCGGAGCGGTGTGGCGAGGTCGCCGTTCACGGACGAGAGGTAGATACTCGCACCCTCGTTCCGTTCATATTTATAATGAGAAACGCCCTGATCATTCTCTGCGCCATCCCCGCCTGAATTTTCTGAGAGTGCCACCGCCTTTCCACCCCGCTCCTTCTCCCCTGCCACTCGCCTCTCCGCCCCTTTTTCGGCGAGCGCCTTCTCCACCGTCGTCCTCGTCCCGCGGCACGCGTACGGATTGACGTCGACGGCGAGACTCAGCACGTCGCGCCCGAAAATGGTTTTTGCGTTGGCGACCAGGAATGCGATGACGACGCCTGATCCCGGACCGATTTCGACGATGAGTGGCGTCGGCGACAGCGACGATGTTGGCGTCGACTTTGGTAATGGCGTCGGTGTGGGCGTTTGTTGTCCCGATACCGGTAAAGGCAAAGGGGAAGATCGGGGAGAAGGCAAAGAGAACCGCGAACGCAGCCACGCCGTCTCGGCGGGCGAGGACAGCGTGTCGAGAAACAGATAGGAGTCCTCGGCGGGTTCGTAGACGAGGTCGTACGAGACGTGCGAGGTCGACGGGGTGGGGAGCATGGTGCTTTTTTTTGTTTTTTGTTTTTTTCTTGCGCCCCTTCCTCAATAAACCTCACCTTTGGCTGTCCTCTCTCTCTCTCTCTCTCTCTCGCTCTCTCTCTGTGTGTGTGTGCGAGGGTATGTGCTCGTCACCCCTGATTTCCTACAGTCTCGTCACACTCGTATCAGAGCACACATGATGAGGATGACACGGAATATTCCTTGTATCCCGTTTAACAGCCAAAGCAACTCTCACCCAATATCACCAAAAACAAGAATAGTTTAGCTCCAGAGGTCTCTTTTTATTCTATAGTGTCTCGATTTCTCTCTGTCGAAAAGATACTTGGACCAAAAGCAGTCGTCTTGTGAGGAACGAACAAAATCTCCTGTTGTGCCGGCATATCTTCGGGTCTTCTATTTATCGTCTTATCATTTCTTGGAGGCATATCACCACGTTTAAAAATGTAATACCAATATTGTTATTGTTATTGTTGTGGACTGGCGGCTGAAAGCGTATCCCGTGTACTTAGGATAGTGGTAGGTATCTGCCATATGGCACATGAATACTCATACCGAAGCCTGCAGTCTTGGGTAACGTCCACAGCCGAGCCATAATTCCTGCCTGTCATCAAGTCCTGTTCGAAGACCAATTGTCTCCATTCAGATTCGTGATCCTTGGTCATCAGTCATCACTCTTCCAGTCCTCTCGCAACCTTGTAAACACCCGATTTGCCAATCTCCAGTGCACCTTCTTTCACCATGGATGCCAGAAACTCTTTCAATTCCTCGTTACTAAAGGGAAACCCTCCCGGCACCACAATGGATAACATCATCGAGATCCTCGCCAGAGGCATGGCCCCTTGATTCGTGAGCATGGATACAATAAACGCATTATACATGGCCATTTTCTGCTTGCGTTCCGCTTCTTCTGCCTCCCTTGTTGCGGTCGCCAAAGCGGCGGCTTCTGCGACTGCCAGAGCACTGTCTGATTGTTGGGCGGCAGACGGCCCACCCTCGCTCATCAACGTGTCGTCGCCGTCGCCGGTGCCACTAGGAAGTCGTTCAAGGACAGTAAAGGTGTTGGGCGATGATTCGGTGAGGATGCGCCTCGAGACCCAGAAAACGCAGGCGGAACGAATGAGAGGCGTGGACATTGCGAGCTCAGAGGCAAGTTCTGTAAGAGTCTTCTTGACAGGCTGCCCCGATGCCCCTGCATCGTCATCTCGAAATGCGTAAATGACGGCCGCTTGCCAGGGAAGGACTTCGTCGTGGTAGGTACGGTCTTCCAGCTCCAGCTCCACCTCGACTTGGCCAACAGTATTGACCCAAGTCAACTTTCGTGATTGCTTGAGAGCTCCAAACCCCTGTTCGTAGTATCTCTGCTGCTCCGTCACCACTGGTGGAACATTAAATGAGTGGTCCTGCATGGCCGGCCAGAACAGGCGCGAGAGGATCTTCGCATGAATTTGGACATCGTCGTCCCTCTGCTTTGCAGAACGTCCTTTTTTGGCCTGTTGCGCCTCCAAATCCTTCCTGATCACTTTATCCACTTTCTTTGAATCCAGAACATCTCTCAACATCACTTCGCACCCTTGCAGCGCAGAGTCTCCGAATCGCAGCTTCAAGTGCTCCACCACACCGATCTCCTGGGTGAAGTCGGCTTTATTTTTGAGCAGCCTCTCCGCCATGGCAGATTGAAGTTCCCTGACAAAGACTTCCTTTGTTTCGAACAATGTGACGAGACTACCAATCACGTCGGTGGTTTTGTTGGATTTCATGTAATCTGGAGCGGCGTCGATGGGATCGGGGACCCAGTCCATATTATTCCAGTCGAATTCGCTGTCGTCCGTTGCATGGTCTCGACCGGTGGGACTGGTCAGTTCACGAGCGAGTTCTGCGAGGACGTCTGGATCGGATTCTGGCGGCTGTCCGTCCTCTTGGGGCGAAACGTCAGCTAGCAGTCCGGTCACAATCACCTTGACAGTGTCGTCTCGCTCTCGGAGGTAGCGACGGACTCTTCTAGCGACACGATCCAAGAGGACTCCTCGTGGGTCGAGAATCCGAAAAGAGCGGATAATAGAAATGTAAAATTGTAAAATTTCGATGGTCGATGCGCCCGGATGGAGAAGACGTGTTTGCAGGACATTGACAAAGTTGTGCGTCAAGTATCCTCTTGTGGTCGGACTTGTCGTGAAATGCCGCAAGTCCTCGATTGCAGGTGCCGTGGCATCCCAGTCCACTATGACCTCGAAGAGTTCGTCGACCCGTAGAGCGCCGAGTCGGGCGGTGGCCATATCCTTCCATTTCCGCACTTCCGTTTCAGGGAGAGTCTGTGACTCCAATTTCTCGTCGAGGCGACAAAGGACATTTCGCGCGATCCTGGAAAACAAATGCTCTACCCAGAACTCAAGGTGAAGATGCAGCCCTTGACGATAGACTCCGGCATAGGACCAGGTTACAAACTCCGTCATCAAATCATTGAGGACCGACGCTAGTAGTTTTATTACTGCCTCAGGCCCAACTGTAGCCCGCCACCCAGCCAGCATCCCCCACACAGGAGACACTGCCTCCCTAGCAACCTGCGCGGCATGGTCGGTAGCTGTTGGCTGTCTAAGCTGATCGAGTGAGGGGCAGGAGTCGAGGTAACCGTGGAAGGGAGCACCCGCATGAGGCACCACCTCGTTCACTCCATAAACGAAAGACTCGTCGCCGATTCCCAAAAGCACTCTCAAGTGCTGGTGCAGGGCATTCTGTATCTCCGGAAGCGTTGCAAGGGTCTGAGGGGCAAACAGGCGACGGTGCTTGGGTGGTTTAACGACTGAAGGCGAAAAGACTGATGCGAAGATTGGGTCGGAAAAAGGAACAGATGCGGCGGCTTTAGACCGGGCCATCAGGGTTGTGGACATGTTGCTGTTTCCATGGCAGGAGCGTCAGACTAGTTGCTGTCGGGATCAATGAAAGGACGCGTTTGTCGCGAGATGGATATTCAATAGTTGCCGAGGAGCAATGTAGCGTGTGCTGCAGCATGTAGTGAATGTACGGGTTTGAGTGCGTACAAGGACCGAATCGAAACGCGCTTCACCGCGTCTTCCATACATCATAAATGCCAAGCAAATGATTATATAATACTTGGCAGCTTCTAAGCTTGAAATAGAAAATTGTTTATCTAGCGGGGGCAAACCAAGGGTTGGGGAAATCTGCTTGCGTCTCACAACCCCTTTGGGCAGGAGGGTGACGCTGCCCTGTGCTCACCCCAGGCTCGCGCGAGCTGGGTGGGCGATCACGAGTAGCAGTATCTTTTCATAGCAAGAATGTCGTGACTTTGGATCAATGTTTCCATCTTGAGCAATGTTGTTTACGTTAGCGGTCCAGGTCCAATATAATCAATCCTCCTGTCACTCCTCCTGTTCGCGAGTCTATTCTGCCGCATAACGTCGAATCGACGTTCGACGTCGCTATCTATCGACCGACAGACTCTAGAGACCCGCATCATTGGGCGATACATATAACCACCCCTACTCGCCGTAGCACTCTGCACCAAGTGCACGATAAGATCGGCGGTAGCGGCTACTATGTGGCCAACGAACACTGGGGCGTGCGGCCGAGTCACGCACGACTGTATCGAATGCGCATTCGTGTTGGCCACATTCGGTTCATTTATGTCCGCAGAATTCGTCAGATCATACAATGTTGGGCTGTAAACAACGTGCCGGCGCGCTGGAACTGCCAGCGTTGGGTCATTGAGATAGTCTGGTGGTTGAGAACTTGCGGCATTTTGGTTGTAAGGAGGCGGGCACTTCGTCGACTTCTGAGGCTCAGAGAATATTAGCAGTAAGCCGTGCTTGAGCTTGGTTGGCTGTATTATTATCTCTTGGCCTCATCAGACAAGCCGAAGGTCGATGGTCGATTCGACGTGTATTATTTCATCATCAGAGACTCCCAGGTTTCGCATGGTGAGATTCGGAAATTCCATAATGTCGTCCACACCTTGAGGGTCGTTCACCCAATGACCCCCATCCGCGTACTCGTGTAACTGAGTTTTCAATCCTAAGGAATGCACTAGGACATCCCACATTCGCCTTCCATTCTTAATGGGTACAGTGTCATCATCGATTGAGTGGCCGAGAAAGATGGGAGTAGACCGGAGGGACGGCGATGATGGTTCTGGGGACTGCTGACCGAAGTAAATCCTCTGAACTGCGTTGGAAAGCTGCTCGTCACTGGCGCTAGATGCTTTAAGATCTTCGATAAGGTTGGCGAAAGGCATCCAACTACATAGGCCAATCAGGCCAGCGAACCCTTGGCCGTTTGCAAAAAAGGCAGACAACGCTATCGCAAATCCCTGGCTGATACCTCCTAAAAAGATGTTTTGTCGAGGCACATGAATTTCTTCGGCTCTCATCACCTCCAGCAGGGCGGTAACACTTTGTTTCAATCCATCCATTTGGATTTCGACTTGCTCCTCAGGATCTTCGACTGACCATATATCGAACCATTGCGATATCGTGGTATCGAAGCGTTTCGAATAAAGAGCTGGTGCTGTGGGAAACACCCATCTGATACCTGGAAACAGGTCTGGGAGGGTGCGTGGTCTCCCAGCAGGCTCGGATGCCTCGCTCTCGAAGAACTCGTCCAGGAACTCTTGGGCGTCACTGTCTCGGCCGTGGAGGAAGATGACTGTGTGAGTGTGTTTGCTGGTCTCTCTATGAGTAACGATAGACATGTTGGCGGGATGAGTGAGTACAGTCGTGATGGATATAGTCATGGACGAGTAGATATGGAATGAAGATGAGAAAAAGTGATAGAGAAGGGAAACAGGTAAATATGGAAATGTTTAGATCAGAGCATTTGTTTGGGGCACTAAACTGAGAATTTGGCACAAGTCCAGCTCGCACCCCGTCCGGCTACACTTGACGACATAGTACCAACCGCGGGGTAATTTTCCCAAGTGGTACGTCCAGATGATTTATGGATTGGACAAGGTTGATGACTCTTACTATTTAGGCTCAAGTATTTGAAATCTGTATGGCCAAGTTGGATGGTAGAGTGTAAGAATGGGCATTCTCTCGTTGCGATCTCCACCTTGGATTTGGTACTGTAAAGTTATTGCAGGGAATTTAGCCGCTGCTTCAGGTCATGATCTTGATTCTCATCAATCGTAAACTATCAATACAGTTCTGACTCGTGCACTTCATACAGCGTGTCTATATCACTAGAATCATGTCTCTTATGGAGGTGGTGAACCTGCGACCTCTGTTAACCCGATGTGAGCTCTGAGTAACCGCTTCTTCTCCGCCAAATTTGCACCCTGTGTAGGAATACCCAATTGTTGTAGTACCGAATCTAATTGTCTTCTTGCCATACGTTCGATTTCGGATGAGGTATGAGGGAAACCAAGGATAGCGGCACCGGTAGTAGCGTTGACAAACGACACAAGATTTTCGTTCTGACTTCGAAGGTATGTATTCCGAACGCGGACTGCGTTATTATGATTCCTATAGAATTAGTATAGTGATATTAAAATAAGTCGAACCGTACATACGATGCAGTAATTTGCTGGCGGACATTTACAACGTCTTCTCGTATTGCCCTCGTGTCTCTCTCAACTCTCGTCAACTGCTCCCTGATTGTACGGAGCTCGGCGAGAAGTTGCTGACCGCCAGCGAGTGCAGGTGTATTTGGTATCTTTAATATCTCGGCAGCAATGATATTGAAGTTAGTCTGCGGACCAAGAGCGATATCGTCAGCCATCGTAATGGTGAGGGTAAGGGTGATTGTGGTGAGGGTGGAAGTGTTTGTTTTGGGTTCCCGGATGGGTGTGGGCGGAGGAAAGCGCACCTCCAAAAGCGGCGGTGCTGGTCGCCAAATTGGGCGCCAAATTTCCCCGGAAGCAGAGTCAACCACGAGAGACCCGAAAACGGAGTTCACCAAGTTTCGCAAATAATACGTCCTGTCCTTGGAAGAGACGTACAAAGGGACTGCAGCAGAAATCAGACGGTCAAGGCGCGCGTGAGTTAAAGCGTGAGTCAAAGGGTTAGAAGAGGTGAGGTTCAGCGCGAGTGACGAGAGGGGCAGGCGTAAAAGCGGCGCGGTCTGGGTGAGCTGTACGTGACCTACAAGCAGTTTTCCCATCGCTTTTGTCGTCAAGACGCGGGGTTTGATAGCCACAAGAGAATTTTCTAGCCTTGATCAATCCTACAGAATCTGCGCTGTTGTATTGTGCAGTGGTAGATGGCTCTAGTCCAGACCTTACAGAGAGCATAGAATCTATCATGGCAGTTCGAGCGCGAATACGTCCCCGAAAAGCTCTGGATTTATGTTCGTCAGATGCAGGCATTTCGGCTTCTGATTCGCCCTTCACTCTGGTTCTATCCGTTCTCCGTGCGATTTTAGGGCAGGCGAATAATGTCAAATGGTTGAATTGGATGCAATTTAGTCTGGGTGAATCTGTTTGTGGTTTGAATGACGATTTCTCCATGTGCAGCTGCCTACAGACCCGTTGTGGCAGACAAACAAACGCTATGAAACTCCACCCTGTCAACCCTGGCCCTCGCGTTCTGTTCCTCTGAGATGACCCAGCTTCGCCGCCAACTTCAGCGAGAGGCCATCGTTCCAGAAATAACTCTCGCATACTCTGACATTTGCCTGCCAATCTCGCAGGGTAGGTCGCGCTCGCAAGATCGATAGGCCCAAAAACCACGGCTGTGCTGATGGGTCGAACGTGGCTAGCAGCATGGTGGCCACCCAGGTCATAAATGCCTCGTTTCTCTCCGTCACCTCGATATACACTGTTCTCATGTACTTGCAGCGAATCTGGAGGTAGGCGTTCGTCAGGAAAAACATGGATCGTGTCGAGTCTGTGGAATAGCAGAACGAGGTCAACGCTAGAACCAGGAGTTGCTCGACCATCGTCAAACCTGACTTGTGCAGGAACTCGCCGCACAGCGTGACGTTGCGAGAACTCTGGGACAAGTCATGCAGGTTGTATACGTCCGAGTCGCGGAGAGAGGTATTCACCTCGTGGGTCCAGTTGTTGACATGGGTGACTAGGTTGATGATCTGATGACTCAGCATGCCTGACAAGGCCATGTCAGTCAGTCCCGGTGCGAAGCGCGCAATAACATCGCACAACTCAGGATCGAAGGGATGTTCTGGGTAGGTGAAGATTCCGTCTTCAGGGAAAAACCGTGGGTCGGTCAGGGAGATGGAATGTCGAGCTGCATAAAAGTTCTGCCACCTGGAGAGCAAGGGATAGACGGTCCCTGATTAGTCATGTGTTTTAGATCCAACGTCGTGTCAGAACCAAAATAGAACTTACGCCGTGGCCACAGTCTTGAGGAAACCCTCGAAACCTGTCTCTTGTCAGAATGGTGTGTGTAGACGACCAAGTCATCGTGCAGGAGAGGTACCCAACTGGCCAGTGCCCCCTCGAAGGGCGACCACTTGCTTGATGCCCAGTGTATGCATATCAACCGCCTCATAGTTTCCCGAAAAGGCCTACAGAGTCAGACACCGCGTCTCAGTGAGTTTACTATACACGGGGAGTTCCCTGGAGAGCTTATGATCACCTCAAATGCGCACAAATTGGCCAGGGTCACAATCACGGCGTCACTTGCCCGCTGCGACTCGTTGGTCAACCTCTCCCGTAGCAATGACACGGCTGACTGATAGAACCGAAAAGATTCAGAGGGAGCCTCGCGACTACCGGTGGCGGCAATATTGGCGCTGAAGGAGGACATGGCTACCAGCGCCGAGAAGACCATACGGTCGTTCATGACGAACGGAATGTAATCACGCAGAAGGAACAAATCTGGGCCCACGCCAACGAAATGTGGCCGCTGAACCGCTGTCGGCGAGTACTGTTTCACATCTGGTCACACAAATATTAGACGTGGGATATGAAGCGTGCAGGGGACAGCACATACAGTACTGAATGGCTCGCTGGACAAAACTGTTCCGGGGGAGGGGGAAAGGAGAATGCGACAAGTCCCGCGCTCCGGGATTGCCCAGTTGGACGACTTCATGACTGGATTGCTGGGAGGTGCTGCGACGATGCTGGAGTGGTCTCTGTTGTTGTTCTGCAGGCTGTTCATGAGGAGTCTGTCGTTGCAGGTGTGACTCCTGTTCCTCATCTGCCCGCCGTTGCTGTCGGGGGAACAATGGATTCGTCCTCAACACTGACCGTTCGTCGAGGTCACCGGGACGATCCATCTTTCCATGGCTCCGGACATGTTTATCCACGACTCCTTCCTGCTGACATGGATGTCTGCGACAATATATGGGCATCTTGGAAACCAAAGGCTTCGGAAGATCCGCGCTCAATGTGCGCTAATCAAAACGATTCCTCCGCAGCCGAGGATTTTGGAGCCTTGGGGCCTCTGGCGTCAGGGCATCTTGCCTGTGTGCGCCCTAGAAAGACGGTAGACTTCCCGCCCATTCGGTCACCACTTTCCAAAAGAGAATAACACACAAAGCAGTGGAGCGCTCTACTGAAGCAACACATCACGATTCTATCGAGACCAGCTCCGGAACAAGATAATCCGTCCGGAAAAAATATGCAGGGATCCGCCTTGGAAGAGTCCCAATGCAACTGCGCAGCCACCATGGACGTCCCTCTTAGTGCATCTCTAAAACCCATTCCCAGCCAACAACTGCGGATGAAGGGGGGCCGGGAATGTCTAGAGTTCCTGGGTAAGCGAACCGTTGTCGAATTGCACACATGCTGCAAGGGGCGCGCAACGAGTTAATGCAGTCCTCACGGGAGCAGCAGCCAGGGTCAGCTCATGTTTTCGAATTCATCCAAGACTGACAACAACCCAAAAGGCACATACAAGCAAAACCAGCAGTGAGCGCGAACTCCGAGGTCGATCTACTTCATCGAAAAATCCCCAATCAGAAGCCGGCGGCCCTTTGTGCGTTTTGGGCAAGAGTAGGCGGGATGGCCCTATGTGGACCTTTTGGACAAGAGTTGGGAATTAAAAGACACATCATCTCCACACGTTGTCTCGGTGGTCGAGTCGTCGACGTTTTGAATCATGCACAATTGGCGATCCCCGAGAACATGGCGTCCAACCTCTACCAGGACGTGGAATGCCCGGGTTGAGTCTAGTGGGCGTCCAGCACCCATTACTCGGTTGAGATAATGCCCCCTGCCACTCGTCTCCGGCGGCGCCAACTCTCAGGCCTTCGGGGCATTCTTCATTCGGCGTGCCCAGGCAACAAGAACGCCAATCAATCTTCTTTCGACCGCGGTTCTACCCTTCCAAACCCTTGCGGCTTTGTCATCGCGCATGTCAAGCTACCAGAACCAGAAAGCTACGACATCAATTCGACTCGTTGCATGACGCTCTCAAAGTGGCCATGTGAGGCTCCTCAGACAGCAATCAACAGGCTCACTCATCTGAGAATCCGGCCCGGATTACTCGTAGCCAGAGCGACCGACACGAAGAGAAGGGCACCTCTAAAAAAAGCTGAGAATGACTCCGGAGCACAGTGTATGGGCGGGCAGCCATCAACGGCGGGACCCGAAGCCACCTCATTCAACCCTAGAGCCAAGTCGCACCGTGTTAAGGCAAACCTGGTAGGCCAAACCTAGGGCCAGATCGACTATCCCTCGTACGCTGACAAACCTTGCCCAATCGCTAACATTACGTTGGTGCATGGCATCAGAGGCTTGTTGTTGACATGCAGGGACACACGGATGAGTAGCCACAAAAATGGAAGAGCGAAGCCGCATGCTGTTGCCTCATCTTCGGCATGTTCAATAAGGTGTGAACTACGGTGCCGCATCTCTGAAGGTGATAGCGGCACGCATCTTCTTTCTCCCACATCTTGCCCAGCCCTCATTTGGTAGTTATCCCTACCGAAGAAGATTGTCATCCGTCATTCCGGAGTCCACGATAGTGGATGGCCCGATCCCGGCCTTCTGGTCAAGACAGCCAGTACTACCAGAAGGGGCTTTCATTTCAGAGACGCAGGAAACTCTGCTCGTTTTAAGCTATCCGAAACGCGTCTCCCGGTCCACTCAAGAGCCCTCCTCTCGATTCTCTGGTCCCACCACCATCTCGATCAGTCATGTGAAAACACGGTAAGCTCAAGGGGGATCGATGCTCCTGTGTGTCTTCTTCCAACAGGACACAGACACTTCCGTTCAAGCTCAGGCTGCCACATACCGAAGGGTGCCGGCTGGATCGCAACCGCTGTTGCATCCAGGGAGGGTGTCAATTGTCTTTACCCCTATGCGACGCGTGCCTGTCGTTGCGATCATGATGAAATCATCACGGCTATTGATTTAACCGTCGAGTCATGTCGTTGGTGATTTTGAAGTCCGTCCGAATGGATCTTAGACTCTCTGCTGAATAAGGCAACCGGGCTCAGAACCAGCTTTCTCGACAAGGCTTTCATGCTGATGTAGCAGGCCAGTTGGTGAAGAGGAAACAGTGAGTTGCCCAAGTTGGCCATCAGCAAGTGTAACGTTTTGGAAGGCCAACTTGAACAGCCCACATGAGGTTCGCTGTGCAGGCTAATGGGGCATTGGATCCGAAATGCTAGAGTAGCTTCTATGGGGGGGAAAGACGACGGAGTCACTTGGAGGAAAATCAATGGCCAATATCAGAGGGAGGAAAGACAGCTGTACCACATGTGGCACCGTCCAACACACAAAATGCACTTTGAGATGTATGTGTTATGTTTGTGCTGCGTGACTCACAAAGACTATTCAATGGCCTGGCAATTGGGAGAAGCCATACAAG